ACTATGGTAAAGTTTCTTGGCGTCCAACTTGACTCCGTAGCTATTGAGTCCAGTCTGACTACAGATAAAATCAACCTCATCCTAGCATGTATTGATGGTTATCTAAGACTTAGTTCCTGTAGTTGAAAATAATTACAGTCGTTGCTAGGATCGTTAAATTTTGCAATGAGAATCATTCCTCAGGGTAGATCGGCTCCTCTGTTTGTTACCACGTCTTCCCTCCGAGGACAGTGGCAGAAATTCATTTGACAGTGGAATGGGAGATCTATGTTCATACCCCCTATTACCAACAGTTCCCCAATGCTCTGGTTTGGTGCAGCTGCTACCACTGGATTTGCAGCAGTTTGTGGTAATAATTGGCTGTGGGGCAGTTGGCCCCTAAAACCAAGACTCTGGAAGCCTTTAATCAGACTTCGGCATTGATTAAACTATATCCCATTGTGGCCGCAGCCTCCGCCTGGGGTCAGTCATGGTCGGGTCATATGGTGCAATGTTTTCCGACAATCAGGCAGCAGGGGCATCACTAGGGGCAATATGTGTGTATAGATGTAGGTATCAGGCAATATGTGTGTTTGGATGTATGTAATAGACAGTGTGTGTGTATGGGTGTGTATGTATTAGGCAGTATGTGTGTGTATGGATGTATGTATTAGCCAATATGTGTGCAAGAGCAGAGCAAACAGAGAGGAGCAAGAGCAGAGCATGCAAATAGAAGCAGAGCAAGCAGACAGGAGGCATAGCAGAAAGGAAGCAGAGCAGAGCAAATAGAGAGGAGGCAGAGCAAAGGAGGGAGAGCAGAGCAAGAACTCTCACAATGCGCTCTTTCTGACAATACTAGACACTCATATTATTATTATTATTATTATTGGTTATTATTTATATGGCGCCAGCTTATTCCGCAGCGCTTACAAAAGAGCTTTCAACATATTTACCAGGTTTACTACAGAATTCCACGTAGTAGACATATTCTCCATGGAATCTCTAGTGGCCTTTACTTCCTTTTGCCACCTTAAATTACAACTTTCATATTACATGATTAAACTCTTTCTTAATGGTTTACAGCACCACATGCTTTCACTATACCCAAATAAACAAACTATTGTATCGTCATACCAAATTAAAACTCGGTTAAAGGGAATCCAGAAAGTATGCTAAGCCCAGCAGGCAGTGCAGGGAAAATCCAACATTAGCAGCACTGACCAAACTATCCTTAGTTACTTTTAATAGTTTTTAGTGGAAGATGATATCAATGTCACAAATTGCAGAGGATCCAAATAACTAGAACAACCCTCTAGACGTTGAGAGTTAGGTAATCAGAACTCAAAAGGACATAAGTTCAACTGGGGAACAGTGCGAATGATAAGAAATGATATTGCTCAACTACAAACATTTTCAAATGCTCCACTTTTTGGTAACAAACTGTCATATATATATATAAAAAGACTGTCAGGACAGAGTACCCAAACCAGGACAATTCAGTGGGATTCCAGACTATGTTATGGGATTCTGGAACGAGTTCGTAGTTTGATGAAAATCTTTCTGTATTCAAAGGAGACCTGCCACCCCACTCCTTCCCAGCAGGACCAGGATGAGCCATATGATATCACATCTGGTACCAAAAGTCTGAAAGATTAAGTGTATTATTAATGTGATTTGTGTTTGAATGTGAATTTTAATATTTTAGTGGATAACCCTTGAGAACGACAAGATGAAAGAGCAAGCCTTCCGAATCACAGCTGATTTGCCTCAAAAAGAATATTTAATTCTCTTGATTAAAGATTGGGAAAAAAAACTGGAAGTTTAAAAGCTCCATTCAAAAACTGGAACACTCTATTTGCCCTCCCAGTAGACCTTAATTAGTGCAGGATATAGAGGAGAAATCTCGATCGCGTATTAACTGCTACTATGCACAGAGACCAAAAAAACCAATATCAACAATTCTACTTCAACATTTGTGTTCAATATGACTGATTTCAATGTTGGAATTAATTGTTAACTCTCACAAGTTCAGCCTAAAACAAGGTGCTCCTAATTAATTTAATACCTCTTTATAGTTTTATTCTGAGACTCATTGATAATAAATGTGCTTTTTAACCACTTTTTGGATGTAACAGAAAAAAATTAAGTATGAGAATTGAAGATCAGTGTAAGCATAAATTGACATCAGGGGTTACTACAAAAATCTAATGTAAAATAACATAATTTAAGTTAATTTATTATGTTATCCTTTGCATATCCACTTGGAGGACAAGTAGTTTGACCTACAAATATTTCTGCACACTGGGAGTGGGGAGAAGGATCATTTTTAGAACCAGTCTTTATTGATGCAGAGGAAATTGATGACGTTTCGTGAAATGTGTTTCTTCGACAGGTGAAGACCGATGCAAAAGTGAAGATATGTGCACTCCAAAAAAGTTTGTCCATTTATGTAAGAGAAGGAGAGAGAAGGTGTTATCTCTTTTAGCCACTGTTTGTTTTTTTCATTTAGAGTTTTGCACAATAAAGCAATCAGATATGAACCAGTTTTCTTTGTTCTCAACGGGAAATATGTTAATTAATTACTAAGTAGGAAGTTGTGGCTTCTGGGCAGTCAGTATACATAGCCAGAATATACAGTTACCTTGCTACTGGGGTGCTGATATACCAGCTAGGGTTCCGGGGTTAGGCAGGGGCCCCAGAACCATAAATTTGGCTGGCTCCATTAACCATAACATGTGAAGAATGAAGCAAGGGGGACCCAAACTGGAAACCTTCTCTGACCATCTTAATAAATGACTTTGTCCTCAAGCATCATGCTTTCATTGACTGAAAAGGCAAACCTAGATGTATTTCTCTCTCATTATACTGTGTAAAATTAATTAAGTATTAATTTAGAAACATTTAGACAAGGCATTGCATAAAGGTCAGTTGCCCTAGGTAGATGAGATGGATTGTGTTTCATTTTCTAGACTTCTGGAATAAAAAAAAAAATACAAATAATATCAAAGGCTTGTCACCAGAGTTCTATAATTCACTACAAGACATTTGTGGTACTTTCCGCAGCAGGCGAATGAATCCTTGGGGAACATCATTCGTCTACGTGTGTAATTGTTACTTGTATTAACATGGCCTAAATTCCCTTGATGTGTTTTACATGATAAATTTCATGTTTTCCTATCACAGTTAATAAGTGTGATCTATAAATAGTGCTGCTCATCTCTGTTTGTGTCACTAATTAATTCTGATAGCTATTTTAATTCCATAATTTGAATGTTTATAAAGTTCCCTTTAAGCACAACGTACACAATATTACAGTATTAACCACATTCTTATAAGTAATATTTCTTGCTGACAAATTCCTGACAGTGATCAGCGACCACAAACTCCTGCTACATATTAGTGGTATGACATAGATCCCTGCAACCTTTTTTAATTACTGATGCAAATATTTGCAAACAATTTGCTATGTACAGAGTAGCTGCTAGAGTAATTTAATTAGTATTGAATTCATTGCAAATTAGCAGATCATCATTTGTTGGTGTCCATTAAAAAAGAGAGAGTTTACGTCTTTGCTTGAAGTTAGCATGCCTTTATAAAACACACGTTAGTGTCACACGAATGCACTCACTCCTTTTGGTAGACCTAAATGGGTCTCTATGACACCTCTACTAAATTGGATGTTTTTGTGACTATTAATAACTGCTGTCTAAGTTACATCTCGAGTTCATTACTAACTCCTATTCATTAGGACTGCAGTTTAAGCTTTATTGTAGTTTTAAGGCGGTGGAGCAAACATTTTGCATAGGAGGGTACACTCTAACTCATTAGATCCTAACAACAAAGTATACACTCCCCTAGGTGTCAAAAACAATTATACAAAAACAAAATCAGTGATACACAACAGAGCGACTGAAAATATAATAGATGCTTAATTTATGGACACATAGGATAATAAACATTAGTGAAATAATTCTAGTGAAAATGCTAGAATCCATATATCAATCTGTCATAATGTTACCATCCATAGCCTATCAGGACTTGATGCTTGAGTCTTTCTCATTTACCACGATGAATATGATTGTTAAAAGGAGAAAACACACTTTAAAAAAATTAGATCAAGAAATAAATGAATACCAGAATCAATTATTAAACCACACCTCAGCTCAAGAGTATGAAGAGATAACTAAAAATATTCAAAAATAGATAGAAAAAACAGAATCTGAGACGATAGACATTAAAAAGAAAAAATACAGAAGGGACAAATATGACTATGAGAATAATCAAATTAGATCATATCACCAGAAGAGGCATAATTATACAGATCAACAATCTTATAGACCCTCTGTTAGAAACATAGATAGATCTAATCATGCCACCACCTATGCAGAAGTAGTACGTAGAAAAACACCATCAAGAGGGAGAGTCAATTCCAAAACTCTAGCATCACCTAGAGGTTATTACAAAAGTCAAAATAGGAATCAAACGACTAATCACCTCCCCTTAAAAAACAAAGAAATGGGGAATCAACAAATAAGAGACAGGGAAAGATCCCCTATCATCATGAGAAATAGGAAAGAATTAAATGATAGACATCTACCAATACAGAATAGATTTGAAGGCCTTTCAGATAGAGAAGATTTTTTTCAAGAAGGAAGAAAAAGGGGGAAATTCAAAGCCACTCAATTTCAAGAACTGACACACGACAGAACTCTATATCAGAGATCACCTCTGAAGAGACGGAAAGATATAGAAGTAGAGGAAAGAGAGCAGGGAAAAAGGTGAGAGAAAAACATAATAAAACGAAAAAGGCACAAATTAAACCAATTATTTTTAACTTAACAGGAATGCCATTAACTAACATAGAACAAAAAATATTAAGTAAGGGTTTAAAATTTGTCCCCACAAAACCAATAGATCGTTTTGAAGTTTTTATAGATCTAAACAAATTTAAACGGCAGTTATGTTTAAAGAAATGCTTCCTAAGAAAAGATATTTATCCAACCCAGTTGCCTCAATCAAATTATGTTCATACTGAATTAAAGGATAAGTCTACTTTTTTTCCCAATAATTTCATCTCCGATGAAATGATTTCCTTTGAGAAGTCAGTCATGCAAGATATAAATAAAATCAAAACAAATAAAAAACAGATGAATTTAAATAAAGTAGAATGGCTAGCCCTTAAAAAACTCCAAAAGGATCAAAGTAAGGTAATAAAACCAGCAGACAAAGGGGGGGGGTATAGTAGTTATGGATGCTGTTAAATATATACAAGAAGGCTTAAGACTAGTTGAGGACCCAGACACATACTGTAAATTGACAGGTGACCCAACTAAAAATATCACAAAAAATTTGAAGAATTATTTACACAGGGAAAGGAAATGGAGATTTTAAATGATAATGAATATAAATATTTAAATATTAAAAAGCCTAGAATTCCAGTACTATACCACCTCCCTAAAATACATAAGGACCTCAACAACCCTCCAGGCAGGCCGATAGTCTCGGGGATAGATTCAATCTCTAGTAGACTATCGGAATACCTGGATCATTGTCTTCAACCGACAGTTCAGAGTACATCTAGCTATCTGAAGGATACCCTAAATGTTATTCAGATTCTGAAAGAAATACAATGGGAATCTCATTTCATCTTAGTCACGGCAGACGTAGGATCATTATATACCATCATCTCACATGAGAAAGGTATGGAGGCCGTGGATTTCTTTTTGAAACAAGCCCAAGTTTACCCAGAGGAACAGATAGCATTTATATTACAAGGGATTGATTTGATTCTCCGGAACAATTACTTCTGGTTTCAAAATGACTTCTACTTACAGAAGTGCGGTACCGCTATGGGAACAAGGTTCGCACCCAGCTATGCAAATCTTTTTATGGCATTTTGGGAACACAGTTTCATTTTTTCCAATGCCAGTTGGAGTGCGAACCTTGTTACCTATAAGCGGTACATTGACGATATATTTTTTATTTGGAGGGGGACGGAGGATGACCTGAAAGACTTCCTCTGTTTTCTGAATGACAATCAATGGGGAATAGTACTTACTACTGACTACAGCCTATTACAAGTTAATTTCTTGGATCTGACCATCTATGTGGAAAATGAATATATTAAAACCAAGACCTATTTTAAAAGTGTAGATGTCAACAACTATATACATCTAAATAGTTGCCATTTCTCACCGTGGCTGAAGAACATTCCAAGGTCTCAATTCATGCGTATACGCAGAAATTGCACTGATGTTAGCAGTTTTCAAGAACAAGCCCATAGGGTTAAAAACCAATTTTTGGAAAAGGGTTACGACAATAAAATATTATCAAGCACTTTAAATGAAATAAAAATTCTGGACAGAGAATCTCTCTTAAAATATAAACAGAAAAAAGAAAAAGATAGTGAAGGAGTACCCTTTATTTGTAATTATAATCAAGAAGAGAAAAGAATAAGAAAAATAATTAATAGACACTGGCCAATTCTAAGAAGTGACCCTCTATTATATAATATACTGACAGAAAAACCACAGATTATATATAGGGGAGCACCCAATTTAAAACAAATATTAACTCATAATTACATAAAAGAGGAAAAATCTAATCCGTTCTTCCAAAAATCTGGGTTTTTTGGATGTGGCCAATGTCTGGCTTGCAGGAGTACTAACAGTAACAAAAGGCATGTTACGTCATTTATAGATCCTCAAAACAAAAAAGAATATAAAATTAAACAAATGATAACATGTTTTTCAAAGAAGGTAATTTATGTTCTGAAGTGCCCATGTCAATTGTACTATGTGGGGAGAACCAAGCGTCCCCTCCACGTAAGAATAAATGAGCATGTTAGAAACATCAGGAAAGGCTATGAGAAGCATTATGTATCTTTGCACTTTAAAACAGTACATAATAGTGATCCAAGTATGTTAGAATTTTTTGCTATCCAAAGGGTTATTTTAAACTGGAGAGGAGATGATGAAATCAAAATATTGGGAAAAACGGAGATGAAATGGATCTTCAATCTCAATACTCTTACTCCATTTGGCCTAAATGCCGATTTTGAGTTATACCATTTTTTATAAAAAGAGAGAAGATTTTTATTATAAATATGTATATGTTTTTTTTATATATGTTTTTTATTATATATTTTTAATTATCTAATATAAAGAACAAAAAGAAAAGTAAAATATAAAAAACTAGTTTCTTTATATACATTATATTTCTGTATAAAAAACTAGTTTTATCACATACATTATATTTTTGTGTATATATGCGTCTATCTCTTTAAGATTGACAAAATATTAAAATACATCTGAATATACTATGTTAGGAAATAGATATGCACTTATTAAAGCTATTATTAAATAACAGTACATTTAAACTAACATTATTAATGTCTCCTATTTTGGATTACAGTTTACAGAATTATAATTAATGTATATATAAGATTAATATATCCCAGTCTGTAAAATGATGTTTTTTTCCCTCTTCCTATCCCCATAAATACACCCCTGTTTCTTCATGAGCGATCTCACATCCGCTGAGGTGGAGTGAGTTTTGAACTTTTAACGTCGCCAGAACTACAGAGAAGAGACTTCTGGGAAATGTAGTTCTGGACGGCGAACCGGAAATGACGTTACGGCAATTAGAAGCCGCAACTAGGATCATTTGATATCGGATGAACGATTGGACGCAGAGAGGAAGGGCGGGAGAAACAACTTCTTTTAAAACCGGAAAACAGGACATCAACAGAATACCAATTGAGAAAGCCAACGGAGAAGGCGAAACGCGTCTTGGTAGATCAGGAGAGGAAGGACTTCGGCACATATTGTATTTATTTATACTTTTTTATTATTATTCGATATTTTAACTTTATTTTATATAATAAATTTTGTGTTTGAATATACTTACCTCTACCTTGAATTTCTGGATCCGGTTAAGGGTAGTGTCACCCTTTATATTAGACACATATGCTATTTATACTTAGAGCCAGTTACTAAAAGGCTCTTAAAAAGGTGAGCATTTTTTCCATTTTCACCTTAAAGAGATATTGTACTGCATGCTAAGAGTTAAACAATCTGCACCCAGAAGTCTGTTTTTGTTTTTTCTCTTCTCTTGGAGTCTTCACTTTGATTGAAAGGAGGGAAAGAAAGGATTATAAAAGGCTCTAATAAATGTGAGTCTACCTGTATATATCTATATTCACTTCAATACAGGCTCTACGTTATTACCCTATGTATGTTCTCTGTGTTTTTCTCTTTATATGTCTACTTCTTTGATACTACCCTGAGTGGTAAGTGTACATTTATATTCTTGAGCACTGTGAATACACACCTATTAGCGCTACACTCTTACCAATAGTGGGAAGGTGTTTACACTGACCCATTTGAGGTTTTTTGTTTGTTTTTTGCATGTGGAGAGTGGTTTTTGGAGTACCCTCGTGAGTGTTTTATAGAAGCTTTTTGATATTGTTATATATTATATTTATAAGCGCCACCTATTCCCACACCTTTCTCTGTGTTGTTTCTATATATCTAATGATCCTGAAGGGTGTTGGTGTACTTGCTTGGGGCCAAGATCTAATTTTGGGTGAGTCACCATCTTTCCTTGCCAGAGACCCCCTGGACAGAAGTTGTACTTTGAAAACCTAAGTGAGTAATTAGGACTTCTGTATTTTATCCTTTTTGTTTTTATCTGTTGTTGGTGTAAATAATTTGTTTATCATATATTTTTATATGCACTGTGACTATCTTTTGCTCATAATAAACATTCATTTATTAAGTTTTGCCTTTGTCTGGTTAAGAATCACGTTACCTGAAGAGACTAGTTAGTATTTTTGTAATTCCTTGAATATTGTACTAAGTAATATTTGGTGGGTTTTATTGTTGATTTACCTGGGGGACCAAGGCACCCCATTTATAAATTGTCTTGGTGGTGGCAGCGTTAAAATAGTAATAGTTACATTATTATGTTTAAGTGTGGGTGGTGTTAAAGGGGGATTTTGTCATTATTTCCGGTCTAGTGCAGACAAATAGTGAACTTTAACCCTTTCACAACCACAACTACGTCACGCGCACTCTTGGAGTAGGGTGTGTTCGTGACACCAGGTCCCTCAGGTTTTAACCCTTCACATTTAAACATAGCAGTTTCAGAGAAGCTGCTATGTTTACATTGCAGGATTAATCCAGCCTCTAGTGGTTGTTTTCCTGACAGCCGCTAGAGGTGTTTCTGCAACACTGAACGCGAAAATTGCATTCTGCGTGCAGAACGTCCATAGGAAAGCATTGAGAAATGCTTTCCTATGGACTGTTTGAATGCGAGTGCACAAGGATTAAACTAAACCTTTAATGTCGAGCGATTTTAGAATTTGGTATGTTTGTCTTGTAAGCTTAATAGCCATAAAAGAAAACAAAATTGCCGCACAAAAGTATATATTTATATAAAGTAGACATCACGGGCTATTTACCTAAGGTTGTTTTGACACTTTCTACGTAGCCATTTCACCGCCAACCTCTGCTAAATATTGGAGTAAAATTGTGTTTTTTTTGGTTTTTGGCACACAAACTTATAACAAAGAAATTCTCGTGTATATTTTGTAAAGTTGGTGTGTGCTATTCCTGTACAAAGTTTTATTTTGTGTTCAGTTACATCTGCTGAGTAAAATGACACCCCCATTGTATGTCTTTGGCACTATTTCGTGAAGTTACAGTGCCATATAGGATACCTGTCCTTTTCAGTATTCACAGTAGAATTTTGAGAGATGGATTTAATGAGCCTTAGCTTCCATTTGGGGTATTATAACAGTTTGACTGTTCAAAAAACCCCACAAAGGCCTACCATTTGTAAAAGTAGACACTCCAGGGTATCTCATAAGGTGCATATTGTGCCTTAACATACCCCCATTTTTTCACCAATATATGCCAAATTATGTGGTAAAAAATAATTTTGTGCATTTTTTTACATACGGATTGCATTTTTGCTGGGTGTTTTGTATATTTCATATGTGCCACTAAGTTCAAACCTCCCAAATTATGCTCAGCTAAGTCTTCTGAGTAAAAAGACACCCCCAATAAATGTCTCTGGCACTATTTCATGAAGCTATAGTGCCGTATAGGAGACCAAGCCATATCCGTTTTTACCGAACTTTGAATTTTGATGCTGGGCCTATGTGCAATTTCCAAGCATCTTTGCAGGTTTTAAATTCAAACTACCCCACAAAGGCCTACCATTTCT